ACCTATTCAAATAGGTGATATCACCTATTCAGAAGCTGAATAGGTGATATCACTTATTCGAATAGGTGATATCACCAATTGAATAGGTGATATCACCTATTCGAATAGGTGATATCACTTTTTGGCAGTAAATACCAAAACGGCGCCTCATACAATACACACGTTTAGACTGCGGAAGACGACAAATCGATGTGGTCTAAATAAGTATTAGATTATACAGTGAAATATTTATTTCAACTGTACAGATTTGACATGTGTTTCTGATCTGATAATTTTTTGATGACGTTCGTGATTTATTGGAGAATAATGTCCGCGGCATTTCTTTGATCTCGGCAATAATCGTAGTAGAATTTGCTATAAATCACTCTGATTCTACACAAAAATACTCTAAGTTGATATTAAAAGGATGCTAGAGTTCCTTATTGACAACATTGTTGAAATCTTCGGAGACCGGTATACACCAGAAGTAATTCCAATCGATTTTTTTTTTTGGGGGGGGGGGGGGGGGTACTGATCTTCTATATGCACATAAGTACGAGAGTCTTTATTCAAAAAAATTTCAGTCAAGTTTCCATAAATAACTATCCCTGAAATATCATGATTCTAAACTGCCTCTTTCGTGTAAGCCTTAGGCGATGTCATTTTATTCTTTAGAGAAAAAAAAATCATATATATATTTTTTTAATTTTCTAGAGCTCAATCATCTCAATCGAAGAAAGATTTTCTTATCATTAAAATTTTATATTTATTTTCTGCCATTCATAAAAGCCATTGCTCATTGAAATACAACATTCGTTTGTCATAACTTCAACTAGTGTACATGTCTTAGTGGAAAATTACATTTTACAGAAGAAATCGACATTTACGTTAGTATCGCCGATCGTTGTGTAGTTTCTATCTTTAAGAGGGCTGGGTGGTTGTGGCCATTTTCAGACTATATTGATCTCCTTTAGAAGAAGAGCTCCATATAAAGATATACAAAAATGATCAAATTTTAAAAATAAAATGTATGAAATTTTTGTTTGCCACATGATAGTTGACAGCTTAAGATATCATATCTTAAAAATTAAGTTATATCTGATGGTTAATTTGTTGACCCCCCAGCCTCCTTAAGTGAGAAGAAGCTTAATTAAATTGAAATCATTTACGAATTTTTTTTCTTAGTGACATTGTATATTTGAGCTAGATTATCTGAATACCATACCCTTCACACATATTATGCGCATGACACAATTTTTTTTTTTAATTTAAGTTATAAATTTGGACCATCAAGAACAGTGGTATTAAAACACTTTGTATCTGCATTTATCAAATACTGCTCTCCATTGGTTATAGATTTCATTTATTTTTAAGTGCAAGTATTTATTCACAAATTATGTAAGATAACACTATTTCTTATGGCTCGAATTGATGACCTACAAACAGCTGTAAAATAAAGAAGCAACATTATTTAAAAAGTATAATAAAGCCCATAAAAATATTACGTTAACCATATTTAATGTAAGAGAGAGAGAGAGAGAAATGCACTGTTATTTCTTCCACAGGCATTTTTTTAAGGAACAGAAGTACAGAGATGCTGCTCAGATGCTTGTGCGCCATGAAGTTTCAATTCTTTCAACCAATAATTAATTTATTATTTGCTTTAGAACTTCTCAAAGTGAGAGAAAGATTTCAAAGAGAGAGTATGGACAATTATATATTCTGGATATCCTTTTTCTTAAAAAAATAAAATTAAATAAAAAAAATTTTAAAAAAAATAAAAAACAAAATACTGGACCAGAAACAATGAAACTCAAGTGAAAAGTGACTGATTTTCTTAATTTTTCATTGAAAATGAATGTTTAAGATATGATTTTTCGTCTTGTTTACCTACAAGTTATGCCCCGAAACACCTTATATGACCAAGCTATATTTATAAAGCTTCATTAAAGGAATTTATTTCTCAAATTTGAGAAATCTGTAGGCTCCTTTCATTTACTAGATCTTGACCTTAAGAGAAATCATTTTATGGTAGTGAAGATATTCTAAATTGTTCCAATCATGACCCCCTGGGGATAGAGTAGGGCCACAACCGGGAATAAATTAAGATTTTATTTGGACTTTGTGATTCTGAAATCTTGTGTGATTTTGTGCCTTAGTGGCCGTGGATGTAGTTATATGGTTGTGTAATTTACAGGTCGCCGGTTTTGTTAATTCAAACTTTATTGATATATTTAGGATTCAGTTTAACAAATAAAAAATGTTTAAAGGAAAGAAATAAACCACAACTGGTCCCAAGACCATAAACTGAGAACAGACTTAAGTCAAAATTTCAAATCGTTATAACTTTAGAAGTAATTTTGATAATAAAATAACATTTTCATCATATGTTTGAATTGAAGTGTTTTGCACATTTGCAAATTTTTAAGCTAATATATTGAATGAAACTTAAGATATTAAAAATTAAAATTTGACTTAAGTCTGTTCTCAGTTTATGGTCTTGGGGCCTGGTTCCACTACCAGATTACGCAAAATAATTATTTCAGTACTTCACAGAACAGACCCACATTGTTACGGTTTTAAAAATGTGAGATGATATATGTCGAGATAAGTTTTGTGTTATGTACATAAGGATTTTATCTTTTAAATTCAATTTTGCATGAAAAAAATTCTGAATACATTCCCATATTCGTGTATTGAAACGACTAACATTATGGTCTTATTGATCTATACATTTTTAAATACTCGACTTGCCATCCCGTGATAGCTCAGTTGGTAGAGCGGAGGACTGTAGAGGTTTAACTGAACTGAAATCCTTAGGTCGGTGGTTCAAATCCGCCTCGCGGGATACCTTTTTTTTTTTTTTTTTTTTTTTTTTTTTTTTTTTTTTTTTGAGCACGTGATCTTTCAAAAGGCACTTTACAACAAATTGACTATTTGCTATAGCTGGTATATACAGGTATATTTCTTGAAAAGTTCATATATTTTAATGATTTCTTTTCACTGAGAAATAAAACAATGAATTCCAATAGCTATTGAGAAAGAAAAAATCGTGGTCCTTAATTAAAGCTGTTCAGTCTTTTTTAAATAGCATTTAAGGTTGTCCGTCCCTCGGTATATTGTAGAATGATTTCATATTGGACAAAGATTTTTTTCAGGCTCGCCAAATAAAATTGTAAATGTTTTATACAAACATATGTTTAAACTGTACTGTGATAGAAACTTAACAACCCCAAGTTAGTTTATTTCATACCCAGGAGCAGAGAAGAAGATTTTCAAAGATTTAATGCATTTTCACTATATAAACAATAGAGCTCCGCCCTAAAACCAGAACCCCTGACCCAGGGGCCATGAAATTCACAATTTTGGAAGAGGCAGTCATGCTCATTATAACTATGTACTTAGTTTATTTCATACCCAGGAGCAGAGGAGAAGATTTTCAAAGATTTAATGCATTTTCACTATATAATCAATAGAGCCCCGCCCTAACACCAGAACCCCTGACCAAGGGGCCATGAAATTCACAATTTTAGAAGAAGCACCTATGCTCAACATAACTATGTACTAAGTTAATTTAGTTAATTCCCATGAGCAGAGAAGAAGATTTTCAAAGATATAATGCATTTTCACTATATAATCAATAGAGCCCCACCCTAACACCAGAACCCCTGACCCAGGGGCCATGAAATTCACAATTTTGGAAGAGGCAGTCATGCTTATTATTACTATATACTTAGTTAGTTTAGTTCATACCCAGGAGCAGAGAAGAAGATTTTCAAAGATTAAATGCATTTTCAATATATAATCAATAGAGCCCCGCCCTAACACCAGAACCCCTGACCCAGGGTCATGAAATTCACAATTTTGGAAGAGGCAGCTATGCTCAACATAACTATGTACTAAGTTAATTTAGTTAATTCCCATGAGCAGAGAAGAAGTGAATTTTTTGTAAAACATGGGATAAAACCCCATATTTTTTACGTTAATGTCATGAAACAAGCTTCACATCACACTAGGCTGTGGGGGTTGCATACACAGGTACATACATATACATTTACTAAATCATGGTCTATCTTAAAATATTATCATACACGTATGGTAGTTTAGTCATTATTAAGAAAATTGTACAATGCGTATGAACTTCTCCGACAACCCTCTTACAATGCAAATTTGAAGAAGAGCATTATTTACATACTGAATTGTCTACGGAATTTTTTCCGTTTTTCCCGGAGGAGCACAGGGAGCACAAGGCGGGTGTGACCAGTTGTCAGTGGATGCTCACTCCTCTATGGCACCTGATCCCACCTGTTTTTGGAGGTTTGTTCTGCTCCCGATTTGGTTTGTTTAAATGGACTTCGAGCTTGAATATTGTTCGTTAATTATCTCCATATTTCATTCCAAAACATTATTACTCGTATATTTACACTGCACATGTAGGAAGATAAATTCAAAATTGTTGTCCACGAGAGTTCTCATTTTGTATACGCTATAGATTTTCAGCCTATTGGTAAGCGCTATTGTCAAGAGATATATAGTTCCTTACTGAGGAATGCACATTCTGAAACTGTCCTCATAATACTTTTGAAACATATTCCAGTGTTTGAAATAACCGTGCGCCTGACCGCCTGCATTACGTTTAGGGCGAGCCGATTAAATTAGCTCGTATCGACGCCCGTCTGGACGTGTTAAAATTTTCACTAACTAAAAATTTACTGATAAATCTGTCTCAAATTGACTAACTCTACCAGTAGCGAATGGTAGCAAGCCAAGTGGTAGAGCATGTCAGTATCTATGTTATGCTGACTGACTGCTAGTCACGAAAGAGCCGAACCGTCTTTTGAACGACACTTGCCAGTCACTTATCAGCAAGAAATAAAATAACTTTTAAAATAAAATAACCATAAAATAACCTTTATGGTTTTACATTTGTGATAAAAATAATTTTTGAAAAGGGCAATACTTTTCACGGGCTAGTAGATTTGACAGGGTTGACAACTTTTATCGACAGACACTGAGCATACCTGTAAGCTTCCCTCCTTTCCAAATTCATCTGAGCGTGAAATGTTGCTTTGCCAAGTGCTACAACCTCCCTGCTTGTCTCACAAATTCTTTCAGCTATCTTCCTCACCTTGTAAAAATAAAACTACATGCAGGATTTGATTTACATGTAGACACATTTATAACCTATCTTTTCCACAGTACCATTTTGAAAAAGCCTGTAACAGTATATTCAACCCCTTCTAAAGAGTCAGGTATATATCAATTGACACAGTCCAAATCATTGCACTTATATCGATCTACAGCTGAGTACCTCTGTCACTTGAAAAAGTTCATAAAGTCACCTAGCTTAATGATTTTATATCGCGTTTGGACTAAGATCCCTTTTCACACAATGCTCTGCCGAAATATGGCTGAAAAACTGCTGACTTGGCTTATAACCACAGATAATCCAGTAACACAAGATTATTGCCTCTATCAGTAAAGCAGGAAGATGCCTTGTTTGCACTGAAGCTTGTCAGTATACCCAAAAAAAACATCTCAAAAGGTTGTAGGAGGGTTGTCCCGGAAAAGCGAACTTTTTAAATATCTCATAAAGTACAACTGTATCTGACCAAAATAATTCATTTTTGCACAATGTTGGAAAGAAATATTTTTGTTATTTAAGTATAATATTATGAGGCTATAATTTCATTTGTATGTGGAAATCCCATTTAAGGAAAATAAAAAATAAATGGTGTGCGTACTGCATTTTTTTCCCACACTTTTTAAGAATAGCATTGTCAGCGATGTTTTGTTTATTACCATATTATATGGAAAGAAGATGGGCGAACAAGGCGAGCGCAATACCTATAATGCAACGAACACGAAAGTGAAAAATTAAATCTCAATTATAACAAAATTTTCTTTGATATTTCATCTAAAATTAAAGTATACTTTATGTAAAATCTCTTCAATTTGCAAAAAACCTCACAAGATTGAAATTATTTGCCTATGAAATAGCATACACACACTAGAGAGGGCAAAAAGGATCATTTTCTCAAACTAAAACGCAATTTTTCGTTATGAGTGGGTCTTAGCTCCATATTTTTCAAAGTTTATTCTCAAAGTTTACGAAAAAATATACATTTTTTGGTCAATAAAAACATTGAGCAAAGACCCACTATACCTTAAAATACACTTTTATCACACAACATTCGCATCTTTCCGAGAAATAATAAGTCCATTTAGTCAAGGATCATATCACAAACATGATTTAAATGCCACAATTCATCAAGAGCTGTGTTGGGTAGTTGTTAGCGTGTTAGTCTCAAAGGAAAACGATATTCAGGATTTTTTATTGCTAGGGTTCGAACCCCACGGATACCATATTATTTTTTAAATAACAGAATAATTTTTACTGAGAAAATTTTCCTCGGAAAAGTTTAGTTTATCATAATTTCATAAATTTCAATAATGAGAGCTTTACTCTAAATACTAAATTCACAAATTATAATTATGATTTTTATTTATATCTGAAGCAATAGGTATTCTACATGCCTTGCTCATCCATCTCCTAAATTGTGATAAAATTTACATTGAAAAAACCTGTATGATCTGTGGTATTTAGTGCAAATATTCATTAGTTTTACATGAAAAGTAACAATTTTATGACGTTATGTACACATACACTTTCAGTTAGACATGGCCAAAAATGGCGACGTCGGGTGATTATACGTCGAACCAAACTAATTTAAATCCAAAAGTTACAGAAAAATATATGTAATATTTGCGTACATTTAACTGGCAGTTTTAAAAGCTTTTACCTCTGTATTCAACTGGTCATCTGGTACAACCCGACTTACTAAACCATGGAGTAAAGCATCTGTAAATTACAAAAAAGCATTAATTACTCTCTTAAAATTTCTACATCAATTAGCTAAGAGGAAATAAAACACAAGATGTATACCAGTGCTTCATCAAATGCATGACCTCTATCTACTAATTTTTAAAATCAGACTTTTTTCATAACATTTTGTGTATTGTTTTTAGTACAGCTTTACTATACATGTACCTTGGGCAGAGATAGGATGTCCTGTGAAAAGCATTTCCATGGCAACTTTTCTTGGCACTGCCCTTCCAACAGCCACTGCTGGGGTAGAACAGAATAGACCAACACTAACTCTACAAAACAGAAAAGACCAACCCTTAACTCTACAAAACAGAAAAAGCAATGCTAACTCTACAAAACAGATCTGACCAATGCTAACTCTACAAAACAGATCCGACCAATGCTAACTCTACAAAACAGAACAGACCAACCCTAACTCTACAAAACAGAACAGACCAACCCTAACTCAATAAACTGAACAGACCAACACTAACTCTATAAAACAGAACAGACCAACACTAACTCTATAAAGCAGACCAGACCAACACTAACTCTATAAAACTGAACAAACCAACACTAACTCTATAAAACAGAACAGACAAACACTAACTCTATAAAACTGAACAGACCAACACTAGTTATACAAAACAGAACAGACCAACACTTAAGCTATACAAAACAGAACAGACCAACCCTTACTCTACAAAACAAAGCAGACCAACACTAACTCTACAAAACAGAACAGACCAACCCTAACTATACAAAACAGAACAGACCAACACCAACTCTATAAAACTGAACAGACCAACACTAACTCTATAAAACTGAACAGACCAACACTAACTCTATATAACAGAACAGACCAACCCTAACTCTACAAAACAGAACAGACCAACACTAACTCAACAACACAGAACAGACCAACCCTAACTCTACATAAAAGAACAGACCAACCCTAACTCTATAAAACAGAACAGACCAACCCTAACTCTACAAAACAAAACAGACCAACACTAACTATACAAAACAGAACAGACCAACACTAACTCAACAACACAGAACAGACCAACCCTAACTCTACATAAAAGAACAGACCAACCCTTACTCTATAAAACAGAACAGACCAACACTAACTCTATAACACTGAACAGACCAACCCTAACTCTACAAAACAGAACAGACCAACCCTAACTCTACAAAACATAGCAGACCAACCCTAACTCTACAAAACAGAACAGACCAACACTAACTCTATAACACTGAACAGACCAACCCTTACTCTATAAAACAGAACAGACCAACACTAACTCTATAAAACAGAACAGACCAACACTAACTCTATAAAACAGAACAGACCAAACTAGCTATACAAAACAGAACAGACCAACACTAGCTATACAAAACAGAACAGACCAACACTAACTCTATAAAACAGAACAGATCAACACTAACTCTATAAAACAGAACAGACCAATCCTAACTATACAAAACAGAACAGACCAATCCTAACTCTATAAAACTGAACAGACCAACCCTAACTCTACAAAACAGTTTCATAGTTACAATACTGATCTGATAATGATCTTTAATTTCAAAAAAATATGATTTAATGTTTGCCACCAGTTTGAATTTTTACCCACAATATTTATGTTACAAGTTTAGATTCATCTTGCAGTGCATTAGTATTTACAGAATACCAACCTTAATTACTCAAGTAAACAATAAACACCCAAATTATTCTGTGATAAATGTTATGCAGAAAGTTTGCTTAGAATTCTCAATTTCAGGAAATTCTTTCAAGAACAATCAAAAGCAATGTATTCATTAAAGAAGACAATAACAAATAAATCTTTTTTAATTTTTAATTAATAAAATTTAAGAAGTTAAATTGTAGCAGTGTATCAAGAAAAATTAACACATTCTTTTATGTTTTTAAAAAAAGTGAAGTATTCTCTGCATTTTCAAGCTACTAGTATTTCTTTCTTTGCCAAGATTGAAATGGAGTAAATATTCATCTGAATATTTCATTTCCTGGTCATTTCCATTAAAAGGAATACCATGGTACTTATTTTGCCTCTCTCACATGTTTGGACTGATTGAACATTAACAATTATATTTTTTTTTTGTCTGGATTTGCCCAAATGATTCATTTAATTTTCTATCTTAGTAGACACCATGTTCTTAGTTAAAACTTTCTGAAATAAGTATATGTGTATCTGAAATTATCACCAATTCTTCATTACCCTGGTGTGGCAAATTTGGCACTTTGAGCAGCAACAGCAATATCACAACTGGCAACTAACTGGGCACCTGCAGCTGTGGCTAAACCTGGCAGAAAAAAAGGGATGTTTAGCCGTACATCAGGACAGAGTAATATTAAATCATGAACAGTTTTTCCATAGAAAGTCCATTTAGTAAAAAAAAAACTTCTTTAGTATAAACACAGATATAGCGAATTCATGGATATAGCATTTTTTTTTTTAGAATCAATGGCAAAATTCTAGTAAAACAAATTGAAGTAAAATATTACAGATATAACAAACTCTGATATAATGAATTTAAGGATAAAGCAATTAAACTGATTTTTTGTCCCAAAGAGGTAAAAAATTATCTTTTTTAACAAATTTTCAATAACTTGAAATTCAAAATATTAATTGAACTGACGTTATTTTTCATATTAAGTACTTGTATCTGAAATTCATCAGAAATCTTTAGTACAAAATTCAAAAATCTTTAGTTTTGTATTTAATACCTGCCTGAACATATTTAATAGTCATACTTGAAGGAAAAGATGCATGTCGCAAATTTGGTATATATACTTTAACAAATTTGTTATATGAATATATAATTACAGATATAGTGAAGTAAATTCACAAGTTCCCAGAACTTCACTATAACAAAGTTTTACTACATATAGGTGTTTAAAAACTGCTATGAAAATTGACTCAAGTTGCAGAATTGAACACATTACTAAAATATATACTGTGTTGGATTTTAAGGTACGTAATTAGGAGTGTGACACATTCATAAACTACATTTAATCATCTAAATTTGTCACAATTACAACAAAATCATAATATTGCAATTGATGCCTACAATTCTTATTCCTTCACTTTTCAAGTAAACAGTTTTAAATTGACATTTTAAAAAAGCATCTTTTTTAAAATTCAAAACAAAAACATATGGGAAGCATACTTTCTCCTTTGTAAAACCTGTGGACACTCACCTACATTTGTACCTCAAACTGGTTCAATAGGTAATGATGTGCGCAAATTTGCACAAAGGTTCACAACATAGGGACATTTCCATAGTAACTTTACACTTTATAATGTTTCAATGTAATTTCTGCCTCAGAAAACTGGGTAAAATGTTCTCTTGAGTCACTCAGGTATCTTTATTATAACTTTGCATAATTCTAGTGACATTACTGATTAACTACTGATGAAATGTTTGTCATGTGCATTACATATTGCTTGAATCAAAGTCATCCCCTTCACCAACTTAAATAAGCATATATTGATTTTTGACTATGTATTCAGAATACTATGATAATGATATACAACGTAATTTGGGGGAAAATAAAGTATACTTTTGTCAAATAATTTCAATTTATGGAAGTCATAGCCCTTTAAATTTTCAAATCCCTGCTTGGCCAGTGTGTAATATTGTACATTGTAATATCACATTCTGCCATTTCCTGATATTTTACTTAACTGTTATCATTCAATTGTAATATCACATTCTGTCATTTCCTGATATTTTACTTATCTGTTATCATTCAATTGTAATATCACATTCTGTCATTTCCTGATATTTTACTTATCTGTTATCATTCAATTGTAATATCACATTCTGTCATTTCCTAATATTTTATTTAACTGTTATCATTCAATTGTAATATCACATTCTATCATTTCCTATATTTTACTTATCTGTTATCATTCAATTGTAATATCACATTCTGTCATTTCCTGATATTTTACTTATCTGTTATCATTCAATTATAATATCACATTCTGCCATTTCCTGATATTTTACTTATCTGTTATCATTCAATTGTAATATCACATTCTGTCATTTCCTAATATTTTACTTATCTGTTATCATTCAATTGTAATATCACATTCTGTCATTTCCTAATATTTTACTTATCTGTTATCATTCAATTGTAATATCACATTCTGTCATTTCCTAATATTTTATTTATCTGTTATCATTCAATTGTAATATCACATTCTGTCATTTCCTGATATTTTATTTATCTGTTATCATTCAATTGTAATATCACATTCTGTCATTTCCTGATATTTTATTTATCCGTTATCATTCAATTGTAATATCACATTCTGTCATTTCCTAATATTTATCATTCGATTGTAATATCACATTCTGCCATTTCCTAATATTTTACTTATCTGTTATCATTCAATTGTAATATCACATCCTGTCATTTCCTAATATTTTACTTATCTGTTATCATTCAATTGTAATATCACATTCTGTCATTTCCTGATATTTTACTTAACTGTTATCATTCAATTGTAATATCACATTCTGTCATTTCCTAATATTTAACTTATCTGTTATCATTCAATTGTAATATCACATTCTGTCATTTCCTAATATTTATCATTCAATTGTAATATCACATTCTGTCATTTCCTAATATGTATCATTCAATTGTAATATCACATTCTGTCATTTCCTAATATTTTATTTAACTGTTATCATTCAATTGTAATATCACATCCTGTCATTTCCTAATATTTTATTTATCTGTTATCATTCAATTGTAATATCACATTCTGTCATTTCCTGATATTTTACTTATCTGTTATCATTCAATTGTAATATCATATTCTGTCATTTCCTGATATTTTACTTAACTGTTATCATTCAATTGTAATATCACATTCTGTCATTTCCTAATATTTTATTTATCTGTTATCATTCAATTGTAATATCACATTCTGTCATTTCCTAATATTTTACTTATCCGTTATCATTCAATTGTAATATCACATTCTGCCATTTCTTGATATTTTAGTTAACTGTTATCATTCAATTGTAATATCACATTCTGTCATTTCCTAATATTTTACTTATCTGTTATCATTCAATTGTAATATCACATTCTGTCATTTCCTAATATTTATCATTCAATTGTAATATCACATTCTGCCATATCCTAATATTTTACTTATCTGTTATCATTCAATTGTAATATCACATTCTGTCATTTCCTAATGTTTTACTTATCTGTTATCATTCAATTGTAATATCACATTCTGCCATTTCCTAATATTTTACTTAACTGTTATCATTCAATTATACTTTCAAGTAAATTAGTTGAATCTGATTCGTCGAGAAACAGTTGTTAAAAAACACTATTACCCGCTGACTGATGAAGCCACGCCCTTCAGCATAGCAACAGTCAACATTGCTTGACGATGGGTGATATTCCAAAAAATAGTGACGGCGCAGAATTTATGCGTGCAAGGTTCACTGTTATATGTAGTTGTATAAAACATTCAGTATAATACAATGTATAATAAATATTGCACGTAGCTGAGTGTAACATTGAAAATTTTCACCCCTCGAAAACCATTGTCAACCTCGGCTGTGCCTCGGTTGACAATGGTTTTCTTAGGGTGAAAATTTTCAATGTTACACTCAACTACATGCAGTATTTATATAATATCACATTCTGCCATTTCCTAATATTTTACTTAACTGTTATCATTAAACTGAAAATCAATATGTCCTACCTGATATAGCAGCAATGACTGGGATAGGCAAATCCTGTTCAATTACACACAATAAAAAAATTAGATTGCTGGAGAAATTGTAATCAACAGGAATATAAAAGACCAGTTCATTATTCATCTTATAATAATTCTAACTATAAATAAGAGACCCTAGACCAACAACTATTACCTGGGAGGCATCACTTTCTCTCTAGATCTGACATATGTAATGTACAAATGAAAACCTTTCTTTAGCATAAGACAGACAGCATTTATATTGATGATTGCTTTCATATATTTCTTATTCTTCAAGAAGTCTATATATACATGTATGCAACTGTTTAAATATTTAAATTTTAATGTAGGAGCACACTCCCTTAACCTTAGGGGCCATTATCCTGTTCATTTGAATAACTAATCTTGAATCTGTACTTCATGGAGATACAGTACTTGTATATTAATCCTTGCTGTTCACAAAAAATAAATTTTAAAGAATCTTTATTATACATTTATTTCTATGTAAAACTCTGAAATTTAAGGATAAATAACTCAAACAAACTTTTTTTCAGAAATCAGCAATATTTCTCATAGATTTATATTCAAATAAGTAACTTGAATAATGTTTACCAGGTAAAGAGGGAGAATTTTGTTAGATTTTTTAGCAATGTTAATTAAAAAATAAATGCAAAATTTTGTATAGAATTATATAGAAAACAAAACAAAGTCCTATATTTAAGCACGAAAGAAAACTTACCAATTCTTTATATTTTAGGGATTTATTATTTATGTCATTTCTATTCAAAATCAGTCAAAAAATATATATCAATCCAGGCATCAAATTTTTGTTTGTGTTATGTATCCTTAATTGTGCCTCCATCCCATATTCTAAATTTGAATCTGACTGTATAGATATAAAGCTTCTGTTAATCTTTGTGATATCTGACTTAATGGCCATAAAGAAACAGATATTTTAATTAGCCTAAAAAGCTTCCATTTTCCCTTGTTTTTTAACCATCACTGCTTCAAAGAAGATGATTCTTTATTTGCCTAAGCTTAAATTTCCTTAAATTTCCTTTTATGCTTTGCACCAAGTTTGCATGATCAAAATTTGGCTTAGAAAGCTCTGGATCATTCTCTATCCAGAGTTGTCATTCCCGCTACATTCCCACATACACCTCTGTCAACGCTTGTTATACAAGATTCTTGGAAAAACTTTGATCAGAAAAGCCTACAAGAGCTTCAATTCAGATGAGCAAAAAATTGTGAAGATTGTTATAAGGAAAAACATCACGATCAGAAATACAGACATGTATGACCATATCACATAAATATGAATGTGGACAACATAACAAAGAATACTAACTCACAGTATTTTACTATACAAAGGTGCTTCATATATACTAATAAGTAGCTACATGTAAATTGATCATTAGGCCAAACAAAAAAATATGTGTGGTTCCGGTTACACTTCCAAAAAAATTAGGGTAGGTAGGTAGGGATTTTTTTTTTTTTTTTTTTTTTAACAAAATGATTTTCTTAATTTTTTCTAAATAATACCTATCACTGCTTTACAAATGGCATTTAGATGTGGTGTGATAATATACTAGTCAATATTGGTAGGGGACACCTACATGCTAGCTTGCTTTGGATTTAACACTATTAAACACTTGCGCTATGTTTTGCAATGAGGCCATCATTGCTAAAAATAAAGCTTAAACTGGAGCCATTGATGGAAATCGGGGAAAATTCCGGAAAAAATATGAAAATTGCCAAAAAAAGTTTAGGGTCGGGGGTATAAAATAGGGAAGGTCGGGTAACCGGAACCACACATATTTTTTTATTTGGCCTTACTGACCTGAATTAATGTCATCACATTTGAGCAAGTCTCAAAAACTTTGCGATGATATTCCCTGCCTTGCTTGCTTGTCTGTAAATAAATATTTATTAACCTATAGAATTACTTTCAACAAAAACTTTTGTTTCATGACACGAATCAACAACAACAACAAAAATAAAGATCTTCATGAAATAAATATATTTGGAATGTACAAAAGGCAATATCAAATTCTTTTCTGTTGTTGAAGTTGTTGTTGTAGAAGTAGACATAA